ATTTGAGTGACAGAGACTATGTATCGGACGAGGACAATCTGTGAAAAACGGTTTAACTGTAAAATTCTGAAGAAAACTTTTAAAAGTTGGGACGTCATGGAAAGATGTAGGCGCTTCAGAGCTGCTGATCTTGTGAAAGCACAGTTAAGCGGTAAAATAAATTAAACATTAACAAAGGGAATTATAAAACGAGAACAATTGTTAGAAAAATAAATGTCAATTGATTGAAAAAGGTTTTTAATACGTGGGTATTGGACTTACTGTGTGAATGTATAGGGATAGAATTTTTAAGAAACTCTTGACGCTATGTTTTTGACGTTACATTGCTTTTGAGTGTGCGCCGTGGTTACAAAACATGTTGATTTTAAAATGAAGTAAATTTATTTCTATCACATCGAATGGAATGAAATTTCACAGATCATCAAAACAAATATTTTTACACATGATATTGTGCTTATTTTAAATTTCTTGGAAGTAGTATAACAAAGATTGACATCGTCCACGAACTTTTCGAACAACCCTCGTAAATATGCAAGAATGCGATAATTTGTTAACTGTCTCTGACTGAGATATGTCAGTAAATGATATGGTTGATTACATTGTAATTGACCAGTAAGTGAGGCTTTAATATCTTTTATTAAAGTTTTGAATATTATATACCGGTATATAATAAAACAAATAAAATGAATAAACAATATTGATATATATAAGTGGATTCCTGATGATGGCGGACTTATATAACTTATTATAATTAGTATAGAATATCTATTTATTGCTTGGCCTGTTATCACACCGCCGAAACACTAAATAAGTGTCGGATCTAAGTGAAAACGGGGTTCGTGGCTTGATGGGAGTCACTTTTTTACTACACCTTGGGAAATTCCCTTACCGGTTCTACTATTTAAAAAGAACATACCGGTATATAATGAAACAAATAAAATGAATATACAATATTGATATATATAAGTGGATTCCTGATGACGGCGGACTTATAAGACTAATTATAATTAGTATAGAATATCTATTTATTGCTTGGACTGTTATCACACCGCCGAAACACTAAATTAGTGTCGGATCTAAGTGAAAACGGGGTTCGTGGCTTGATGGGAGTCACTTTTTTACTCTCTCTCTCTCTCTCTCTCTATGTATATATATATATATAATATATATATATATATATGTATATAATTGTGTTTAATTATATTTTTAGGATATTCTTTTAGCAGTTGTAGGTGTTGATGCCTTAATTTTAGTAGTACTTGTAAAAGAAAGACAATTTAAGAGTAAAGGGAGATCACAATCAAAATATTCATTTAGGGAAAACAATGAATGTAATAGCTACCCAATTTATAGGTATACCATGTTGGGGTTGTTAACGGATTATAAACCGTGAAGCGGTTTTTAAAGCGTAAACTGCTCCAACCCAGTTAATAATGTACAGACTGGAAAGCAATTAAATTAATTTCTTAAAATTTAATTTTCCATAATTTAGTGTTAGAAAAAAGACGATAATCCTTAAAAATGACTTCAGATTGTACAAAAATCAAATTTTAACGTCAGACGGATCAATATATTTGATGAAAGTTATTGTGATCTAGGCATAACAATATATACATTTATACATAGGGAGAGGTCGTAATAAGTTTTCAGAACTCTCATTTTTGAATGTAAAAATGTTATTGAAATATGGAACAGATTAAGTTCTTACCTGAAAATAGATATCAAATGGAAACATGTAATGATTGGATTTAGTTCTGAGCGTAATAGAAAAACTGTATCACTCAATACACTCATCTCTTATGTTGCCTATAGAATTTACAAATATAAGATGAACTGTCGACTACATTCCTTGGATGAAACTAGCTACAACATTTTTAATCATGTTAAATCTTCAATAATTTTCTATGCTTCCATTCTGAAAAATTTGAACTCTCTTGTAGACTACAGGCTTTTTAAAGATTTTGCCTAAAATATTTTCGAATGCATGTTTCAATTTCTTTACATTGTATTAAGTCAATATTGTCATATTATCTTAAGTTCGTAATGTAACTTGTTCTAAGTATGTTATATATATATTTCTATGTTTGTTTTTATTAAGAAATAAAAATAAAATATGATAAAAAAAAAGGGTTTCAGAACTTGTACCCAATCGCTTTGTAATTATAAATTACAATAAAATATGTTCAAACCAAACCAACAATTAATACGATAGAAAGTAATTTTTTCTAAGGGTTAGTCCTCGCACACCACCGGACTGATAAGTGTTAGTCCTTGCACACTACTGGTCTGATAATGGTTTTGGGTTAGTCCTAGCACCTTTTTCGACTGAAGTGTAAGTCCTAGCACACTATCTGACCGAAAAGGGTTAGTCTCTCCCGCACCCAATATATCTAGGTAAGTTGTTGCACACTAGCTTCTCCACTTATTTGGATTAGTCCATCTGAAGGATTAGAGTTAGTCCCACACCCACTCGTGAAATAAGGGATATTGGTACAACTTTATTTTTTGGGGTATTCTAGTGAACCATTTCACTTTGGCGAACACATATTTAACATTCATTTGTATTTATTTAAAACCATCGGACCTTTGGCGCTGCTCGGCATTGCAATTTGGCATAGAAGAACTGTGACGTCAAAAACGATTTTCTGCAACGTCAGACTTTGGCGTGTCAAACTATCGGAATTTGGTGCCGACTATGTTCTCTACCGCGTGACGCACACACACACACTATATGTATATTTATATCACGACGTAAAGAATATGTGAAATGCATTTGGACAGGATTACATAATTTGATTATATATACATGTAGATAAGACCGCGGAACATTAACTGGCAAAATCGGAAATATGCAGCACACGTCAGTTCCATTTGTTACAGTCAAAACTTTTAATGATAGACAATAAAATGGGCGGGTACAATTCGACACGGACGTCCGAGAAAACATTGGATTGAAATTCTAGTTTGAAGTTCATTTTCAATCCACCTGAGCTGTTTTCAAACCTAAAGTGTGAATGTATGATCCAAAAGACAAATAATTTCAATTCCCAAATACATGTACATGTTGTTTGAAATTCATATTTATGTGAGTTTTTTAGCTCACCTGAGCCGAAGGCTCAAATGAGCTTTTCTGATCAAAATTTGTCCGTTGTCTGTCGTCGTCGCTGTTGTCGTCGTCGTTGTCGTAAACTTTTCACATTTTCATCTTCCTCTCAAGAACCACTGGGCCAATTTCAATCAAACTTGCCACAAAGTATCCTTGGGTAAAGGGGATTCAAGTTTGTTCAAACGAAGGGCCACACCCTTTTCCAAGGGGAGATAATCATGAGTTCGTGAAAAATTAATGGCATCATTTAAAAATCTTCTTCTCAAGAACCACTGTGCTTGAAAATATGAAACTTTATCGAAGCATCCTCAGGTAGTGTAGATTCAAGTTTATTCAAATCATGACCCCCGGGGGTAGGGTGGGGCCACAATGGGCAATCAAAGTTTTACATAGAAATATATAGGAAAACTATTTAAAAATCTTCTTCTCAAGAACAGCAAAACCATGATTGGTCCTATTTATATGGAAGCATCCTCAAGTAGTGTAGATTCAAGTTTATTTAAATCATGACCCCCGGGGATAGGGTGGGGCCACAATGGGCGATCAAAGTTTTACATAGGAATACATAGGAAAAAGCCTTTAAAAATCTTCTCAAGAACAGCAAAGCCATGATTGGTCATTTTCATATGGGTGCATCCTCAGGTAGTGAAGATTCCAAATTTGTTCCAATCATGACCCCCCTCCCCCCCCCCCCCCAAGGGTAGGGTTGGGCCACAATGGGCGATCAAAGCTTTACATAGGAATACATAGGACAAAGCCTTTTAAAATCTCTCAAGAACAGCAAAGCCATAATTAGTCATATTTAAATGGAAGCATCCTTTAGTAATGTAGATTCAAATTTTGTTCAAATCATGACCCCCCAGGAGAATAGAGGGGCCATAACAGGGGATCATAGTTATACAAAGGAATATAAATGATATATCAATAAAAATTGTCTTCTTAAGAACAGCATAGCCATTATTTGTCATATTAATTCAAAAGCATCCCGTTGAAGTATAGATTCAAGTTCAAATCAACACCCCCCTCCCCCTCGAACCACTTTTATATCAATACTTTTCAAGACTGAACTGATTTCTGCTCTTTCCTAGCCAGAGTGCTCAGGTGAGCGATGTGGCCCCTGGGCCTCTTGTTAGTCTATAATTTTAAGGACACGTAAAAGTATAGAAGGCAGTGATTATTTTTTCAGGGGACGACCATTTGATTCTAGAAAGGGGTGGGGGTGTCAAAAATTGTGAAGTCAGATCATGCCTTCACATGACAGAATATACATATATACTAGGATAACAAGAGTCTTTTTTTCAAGTTTTGTCTTCACAGAAAGATGTTTAACAAACAAAAACAGGGAGGGATTGTTCAAACGAAAAGAAAACTAACTTTCTTATTTATTTCCAAGATCGTTCATCACTCCCCCCCCCCCCTCCCCCAGCACATACATACAAATACCAAACAGAAATCAAATATTTGTCCCTTTATATTTCTTTAAAAACACTGGACAGAAAATTCTGATTTAAATGAATTTCAAACTATCTCCGAAATTGGAATTATTTTTCTTCTGGATCAATCACTAACACTATGCGTTCTAAAGTAACTGAGGTGGATTGAAAATGAATTTCAAACTGGAATTTCAATCCAATGTTTTCTCGGACGTCCGTGTCGAATTATACCCGCCCATTTCATTGTCTGTCATTAAATCTTTTCACTGTAACAGATGGAAATGACGTAAGTTGCATATTTCCAATTTTGCCAGTTAATGTTCCGCGGTCTTATCCTGAATGTAATACAGTTACATGTCTGTTTCTTTGATATAGAACTGTACTTGCTTACCTAATCTCTTTCCTAAATATTACTACATTGTACCTTCTTCTATATAACAAATCAAACCACAAAACATCCAAAAATCAATATTTTTTATTGATTTGATGTGAATATTATCAAGGAAAACTCAAAAACATGGAAATAAACATGTATAAATGTAAATGAATTCACAGAGTAAAGAAAAACTGGTTGAAATCGTGTTCACAATTCTCATTTGAACTCCTGACATTTTTTTATAGAGGATATTTTTGTAAAGTAAATGTTCGTTTTGACAACGTTTGAAGGCTATCTTTTACACACATCAAGAATTTGATTTCTTTTGGCTCGGTTGTTGTTTTTCAAGGTCTTAAAAAGGATACGAATGGCAAACTTTATCACAGAATGTTTCTTTTGTCAAATTTTTAAAGAGTAGTTGAAAATGAAAAAAGACATGAATATATGAATCAAACATGCAAAGCAATTAGCAATGGAGAAAATTTCATTGAAAAGAATCCGTATATGTATTTATGGATACACAGATCTACAGCTATGGACTATTAAGAAAAACGCTGTTTGAAGTTCACCTTAAACCACAAGGAGTATGATGTAAACATAAAATTCATAAAAAGTATGGGGAAAAAATGAAGAGTTAAAAATGCATAAAAATGCATAAAAATCTGGATATAAACATAACGGGAAAATATTGTTAACAATTTTAGAAGATAATGAAAACATTTTTATGGCAATAATGTGCTTCTACCATTTTCCATATATGTATGATTTTCAATAAGAGTAAGACAGGTGGAAGACAATCTCATTTAGTAAGTATTGAATAACAGAAACAAAAGTTTGATATAATTGATGAAAATGTTCGTAAAAAAGAAAATATGTTACAAACAGAAATATTAGATTATAATCAGGGGAAAATATGATAAGAGGTGTTAAGTAATACCAAGGTTGTAAAAGATCCAAGAAGTTATATACTTACAATTTATTAAACAGAAAATCAAGTCTCTAAACCATTAAAAAGTGTCAAAAGGGATCATCTTAATATCACTTGGAAAAATAACTTGTTTGAAACAGTTATTCAGTATTTTGATTTATCGAAACATCGGTTTGTTCAAGAAATGAATTCCAAAAGGAGCACCTGAAGATGCAACTCTTGATTTGTCGCTCATATGTTTTACGGCCAAGCTCGAAAGTCCAGTAATTTTGAATCTCTTCATGCAGTCAAGGCCATTTGGAAGGACTTGTTGGTGGCGCCCTCGTTGAGACAACTGACAGGAATCAGTGGATGGCTAGTCTTCATTAAATAATTCTGTGGAGAAAATTCAAATACACACATTAAATTTCTTATAACAATTCGTTTCTGCTCTAGATGAGTTATTGAAAAGCAAATAATAATAATAATAATAATAATAATAATAATAATAATAAAAATTACGAGATAAAATTTTTAAAAATTCTCCAGAGGTACTATAACTGACTGGGAGCAATTCTATGAACATAGAAGTAAATGGATATAGTTGATTGCATTATTAATTCATATACAATTAATTTTCGATATGTTTATGTATCATTTGGTCGTTAGACAACACTGTTTTAAGAAAATCACAATTAAGGCTTTCATATAGAACATTGTGCTTTTAAAGAGTCATTTTTCAAGTTAAAGCAATTGTATATTCTCGTAAACTATGCCTATAGTCTAAAGAAAAGACTTTAAGATAAGATAAGATAAGCTTTATTTAAAGTCAGTATGGTGGTTAAAAGACAATACAAGCTCTAATGAGCTTTTGACTGACTTTGCAATGAAAGTCCATTACATATAGACTCAAATACCCTGTCTTGGCGCATATATATTTCTTAAGGTCCTGTTGCATGTCAAAGGGGGATAATATATAGCTGAGATTATGTCAAGATCACATTTGGACACTTACATGTGCGTATGTCATGGCGTTCTTTCTCTCTTGTTCGGTTGTCTGTTTGCCCACCCAGACAAACAGCTCCTGCCTAGTGTCGAAAATGAAGACGTCCTGAAACCAAAGGCACAACAAGGAGAAAGTTACACATTCTTTAAGTTATTTCAAAACACAGGTTTGAAGTTTTATGTATATTCCTTTATAAGTACTTACATTTCCATCGAAGTCGTTGATTTTAACTGGGCCAGTTTTCTCCAGAGAAAATTTTAAATCCCCCTCAGCATCTGACAATCTGTGAATAAGTTATACATTCCTTGGTCAGTGAAATCAATAAAAACGGAATAAAATGAAGAACTGTATTTTTCTACATAATTGAATTTAATAATTCTTTATCATGGAAAGTTTAAGGGTTCCTCACATTATAATTATTATTGTATTTTTACATAATCTTTTTATTTTAGCAAGATCTGTCCTTTAAGCAAAGCCATGACACTCCCTTTATGTAATACCATGTAACCCTCTGCGAAGTTTTTAAGACATATCCTTTTCTTCCAAATTTTCTGACTGTAAGAAATTTAACACCCAAGGGAATTTTTTCCAGTGGTATTTATCATTGAAAGTTGAAGTGACGCAGTTTAAGCTCATCTTTACCAACGTAGTATAAGGCGGTGTGGTAATATCGCTCATAGCTACCGTCAGTGCTAAAATATTTCATTCTAGTGACCACAATATATACTATATTCTACGTAAGGACACTGATTTGATATGTATGATATCCCATACTACCTGTACAGTTCCGGTTCCGGGTTGTCGTCTGTCTGATCAATGATGGCCTCCGTATCAAAGTCTTCATCAGCGTCAGTCTGGTCAAGGTAACGTAAGAAAACGCCCTACAACAATGTAAGTATATTATGTTTGTCAGTAAATATACTTATAATGGGTTTAAAAATTTAAAAAAAAAACCCATCATAGTAAAAAAAAACTGCATGGTATAAAGAATAGATAAATATTTGAATTCGGTAACTGTAAAACAAATGCAGCTCAATAGAGGAAAAACAGCAGTTATTTACCGACTAATGTATGATTAAAGTGTAACACAGATCTCTCTGTCTATAACGGAAGTAAACCATATAAACACAAACTGTTTGAACCTTTTTTGTGAATATACCGGATAATGGAGATCGTATAACAGTCATCTAAAGTTAAATAATGTTTTACTCTCTTAAGATAACTATTTTGTAATCTTTATTCTTGTCTTTACTGAATAATTACTAGCCATTTTGTTTTTTGAATAAAAAATATGACTGTACGTAAATTCTGTTTGTTTACAGTTGGCAGATTCATATAGCACAGTTGTGAGCTTTAATAGAAGATAACTTTGCCGAATTTTAAAAATCAAACTACCCCTACCCCTATTTTGGAGAAGATTATAGATTTATTTATTTTCATAATTATAGATTTGTGTAGTAGAAAAGTTATTTTTGCTATGGGGAGAACAGATATTATGATCTTATTCCATGATTAATTCTTTAAATACAAGACTACTTTACATTTAATAATTAAACTTGAAAATAATTATGTCTTGTCATTGAATAGTTTCAAAAAAAGGAAACACCTTGGTGCATGATGCGTATACTTGTTAATCGTGTTTTGAATGTTTGTACAGATACACATGTCGACTTATATCCCTATGTTTCACGCCATACTGATCACACGCAGATCTCTTAAACTATTGATCCCTGAAAGATGTTAACGAAACACAAGTTTTTACAAATAATGATCTATTCAAATAAGCCAAATTTAATAGTCATTTCAGTTAACAGATAATTTTGGTACATCTGTTCTCACTCAATTCATTGTTAAAGTCTGTATATTTTCCTTGTCAAATTTTAAAAGCCTGATAGTTATTTATTTCGACTTTTCATTTCTAATGAACTTTGTAACATTTTCAGCAATTTGACATTAATAAGATTTTCAGCAGATGAAAAAAACATGATTTTAAGCTACTTTGTTTAAAGCAGATAACATATTATCAGTTCCTTGATCTTTTTCTAAATTACCACCTTACTGAGAAAAATCCTTTTTTTTCAAGCCTGTCCCAGAGATATTCTTTTAAACGACACATACCCAATTCTTTGCTAAATGGGAATGCTTGGCATACAATTTTTTTTTCGATGGCGTAACAGTGTCTTTATTAAAAGAATTAGGTATCCTCTCTTCATGGATTTTTTTTTTTGACTGTATTCTTGACAAAGATTTGGCATCTTATTTTGATAAAAAATTTTAACTCTTCCGGTTTACGACTTACTGTACTTCCGGCGACCTGATCCAGTACAGTTGCTTTCACGGCTTTACCACTTCTCTCCCCTCTCAGTTGGTTCACGTACTGCAAAGCCTGAAAAGGGATCAAAATAGGAACTTCCAGTATAAATAACAGTACATAGTCATAAACCTGATTCGTAGAATTTTCATCATATAACGCCGTTGAAATGCTTATTATACAATTAAATTCATATGGGCCGAAATTTGCATATTTGTGATGATATGATTTAAATTTAAATATTCTTTAAATTCCTCAATTACTGTTTTCTAGTCCTACGCGAATATCGAAATACTTGCACTGCACGAGCATGTGCACCATAAATATCTAGGGGCCTCGAACATGTTTGGGGATCATTTGAAAGGTTTTTAATTAACTGTGTGGAAAATAAGATGCATTATTGGTGGTAGTAGTTATTCTCATGTTACATCGACCTGTAGTTTATACTTGCTGGATAACCAAGTATTTGTATCGCATGACACCTGTTTGTTTTTTAAATCTTAGTCACACCTAAATGCATTTTATTAAGCGTTGTGGTCATTTTGCACACCATAGTGTCTGACTCGATACGGGAATGCTTGTTTTACATACAAAAAAATTCTCAACCTACGCAGGCTACCGACAAAGAAATTGATGAGACAAAAGGGTATCAACGACAACGATTAAAATCAAAATATAATTGCTTACATTCATTCGTTAGGTCGAATGCTGGCTGTTGTTTTTCATACAAATTGTTGGGTCATAATTTTTATATTGTCTACTGGTCACCTTTGATGTTTCCAAAAGTCCATGCTTGCTTTACTCTTAATTTGTATTTTTTATGTGGACGACTGTTAGCATAATCACTGTGCATTATTTATCACATTTCATTCTTTATTGCATTGTATATAAGTAAGTGTAAGTAACTGGATAGAAAAAATAGCATTCAAGTGTTCCCTCTAATCCAAATGTTTGATGATTCTGAAAATTGCACTATAGCAGATAACAAGATATATATATAAATAAAGGGAGATGACTAGAGAAAAGCTAAAGTCATTATGTTTATCTTAGGGTTTAGTTGTTAGTTTGCCATCAATGTCTTACTCTAGTAAACATCCACATATATAACAGATGTGTTAGACTTCGTGATGTCTTTTTTCGAGTTCAGTGGGATATACTGAATCAACATGTGAATGAAAATGTATAAAGTTGATAAAGTTTGATAAAGCTAACTGAAGGTCATTGACAAAAGACTTCAGAATTTTTTTTTATGTTGAAGTTTGAATGAATTCCGATTCATAAAGTACAAAAACAGTGAATGTTTTGTTAAATACATCCTCTAATTTCCTTCAATGCAAAAGGCAAATATAAGGAACAGTGATCAATCTCATACTTCCAGAAAATTAAAAACGAATCGTGAATAGGCCAAAAACATGGACCCCTGGAAGAACCACAAGTGGGATCAGGTGTCTAGGAGGAGTAAGCATCCCCTATCGACCGGTCACAACCGCCGTGAATCCTATGTTTTGATCAGGTAGACTCCGTAGTCAAATTAAGTATAAAAACAATGGTCTAACAACTGGTAAGAATATGTTGGAAAAAATAGGTTGTATTTACAAAAAAAAGTCTTTATAATGACCGAATAATTTGCAGAAAACTGACTTAAAATGGGGGTATTGAAATCTTTGTATCATCAACTTATTTATCAGTAGCTTGCCTCGATTTAAAAAATGATCGTTCACAGAGCATGCTTTTTCGCATCGAATCAGCTGGGAGACATAAACACCATATTCAGTTGATGTTGGTATATTACTACATGAATAAGGTAAAGTTGACCATGAAAAAGCTGGAGTCATCTCGTTTGTCATAAAAAAAAGTTAGAATAAAAAATAAAACTTATGAACAGAAACCTCTTTCGTATAAGGATTCATTTAAACATTGAATTCTTTTTTTTTTTTTTTTTTTTTTTTTTTTTTTTTTTGTCCTACAACATACCTGGCTGTGCCAACAAAGTGAATACCGCGTGTATGATGATGATAATACGTAATAATGATGTTATATTTACATTCTCTAATTATCTCTCTTCATAATTGTTTATTTCGTTAATCTTTATTATGAATTTAGCGCCTTTCAGAACTGGTGTGCTCATTAGATGTAAGAGTCGTTTGTGACGTTGGTAAGTTAAATAACTCAAATGAACATTGCGAGAAAAAAATTGACAAACTAATTTTAAACGCACAGTTTTTATATTTTACGTTAATTTAACCGGTTAGTTGTTTTTTTAAATTAAACTGAGTCAAAAGAATATACATTTTGGTGTTCCTAGATATTGAAAATGCATATAGTTCCTACTGTGTATTCTACCGTTCACGGTAGCTCAGTCGGTAGAGCAATCGCTCCGTGATCGGGAGGTTGTGAGTTAGAATCTCGGTCGCGACTGACCTAAGACGATAAAAAATGGGTAGCTACTGTTCCTTCGCCATGTCTTTGGCACTTTGAAGTGAAAGTTGCGGGTCCTTCGGATGAGACCTTAAAAACCGAGGCCCCGTGTCACGGCAGACGTTGGCACCATAAAGATTCCTCACTGCTCAATGGCCCTAAGTGCCGAGTAAAGGTCAAAATTTGAAGCTCGTCACCGGTATATGGTATCTCTATATGAGTGAAAAATTCTCGAATGGGACGTAAAACCACATTCAATCAATGTATTCTACCGCGCGGTGACAAGGTTTCGCGTGTGTTACGTCGTAGATTTCTAATAGATTTCATAAAGAAAAATACACTGAATGTAAATATTTACTTATAGAGGTGTAAAAGTTCGAATTTGAATCAATATTTAAAAACTGAACCCCATTCGATACTGCAGCAGCTGTACCTATAGAATGTATGTGGGATATATTGATAAAGCTACTTTGTAATACTTAAAAAAAAACATCGATATTATGGACTCTCAATTGTCGGTGACAAGCTTACATTTGGGCTGTGTAACAATGACTCATGCTATATATTCTTTGCCTGAGTTATCGGGTACATATAGAAGTCACATAAAGGTTTCACTGCGTTTAATTGGTACGTGCAGTATTTTTTTTTTAGAATTAGGGTGTTAGGTATACATTGTCGTAATGTTGCTTATCAGCATATTAGGTACAGGAGAGTCTGAAGGTCCTACACTCCAGACCGATTACATGTTGAAGACGTGAAATACCACAACAGAGGTAGTACAGTTTTATTTACCTAGACAAGACTCACTGCATGCCGAGGTGAAATTCTATAATTAATCTTAACCTTACGAAGGAAGTCAATATTTTGACATTTAAAACTGTAGATTTTTTTTAAAGTTTGAAAAAAAAGTTTGACTGTGTTTTCAATAAAAATGTAATCAAAAGATTTGGATGAATATAAAATATATTTGCATAACGTTTTCTGGAGTGACTTAATACAGAAATTGAATCAAGATCTATTTAGTAGTTCTCCACTGAGGTGAGCCCTTATCCCTCCCACCAATGATTTGTGTCTTCCTGTCTTACCCTGACACGCTCGTCCTTATTGGCCCCCTCTCCATTGTACTGGTAGATCTGGAGACCCAGATCGAGGATGTACACATCTGTGTCATCAATATATTTCTCCATACGTGGAATCTGGAATGACATAAAACAATCATTACTTTTACTGTAAACAATAATTATTAACATTTTCGTAGAACTTTATATTTAGACTTAGGTATTGTCAGAGAAAGGTAACACAGAATAATCCATACTTCTTTGACCATGACTCCGAACTTGTCTCCATGGAAATGGAATAGTCTAGGTGTGTACTGTTCAGGCTTAACTTGACGGAAGCCACTCTCGGCGCCACCATGAAGGTACCTGCATTGTCAAAATTCGCTTTGCTAGAATTTTGTCGACTCATTTTTTTATGAACCACATAAAATTTTATAATATATATTTAAATGATTACATATATTTTTTTTGCAAAATAAACTTTATAAATTCATGCATTAAATTTTTTTTTGAGTTTAAATTACGTGATTGGGTTGAAGTAGGATTTAAATAGCTGAGATTCGTGGCCCTGAACTTCTCTGTGCTGTACAGGAATATCGTCCAAAAAGGTATCCAATTCGACCGTCTTATAAGCTGCTGTGGCGTACTCATCCTAAACAAACATGTATATTTCTATTGTTTTATAATGAAAAACAGGGAGGAACAAGACATATTTCATATCATTATTACATTATACTTTTAGTGAACTGTGAAATCACTAATTTTCGTGGGGGTAAATTTTCGGAGTTTTTCGTGGTATGAAGAGATCCACGAATTCATGTCCCCCACGAAATGTAGAAGTTCAAATATTTGACAACTAAATACTTCTTCAACCTCGAAATTTAATCCCCACGAAATAAATAATTTTCTGTCAAACCACGAAAATTTGACCCCACGTAAATATGTGATTTCACAGTACTTATTAAATATTTAGAGTGTTATCAGAAACAATATTCCCTTTCTAAAATCTTAACATGCCTAAAGAAAATTAACTTCATGGGCAAGGGAGTGTAAATTTTGGGAAATTGTCACCAGTATTTCACTACAGACACTTTGCTTCAAGGTATGTCACTCGTCAGCCTTTTAGAAAATTTCAGTCACAACCTCTTACTTAAAAACTATTTATTACAATTCAATCTTTATAACATATTTAAATTAAACAAAGTAAAATGTTCAACATTCAATTAAAAAAGTGCTCAAAAATTCATAAAGAAGCAAGATTTATAAGGGACTATTTCTTGGGGTGGAAGGATATTTAGCAGAAAATTCTGCAAATCTACACATTTATTAAATTGAATATCTTGGAACTTTAGCCTCACATACTTTTACTCAGAGAATATTTTCCGTTATGATATGGCTGAAGTATTAAATATAGGTCTCAATTTATATTTTTATAACAAAATTTACACCTTCGCTCAACAAACTTTATCAAGAAATGAAGATATATTAAGGAAATCGAGATAAAATTTAGACAGTTTTTTGCCAGAAAATCGCATATTTTGACCAATATTTCAAAATTTACATCACTGACCCCAACCTTTTCTTTCATTATTTTTAACTACTCGATACTTTTGACAATTCAGCACTTAAGTCGTAAAAAAGTTTGATACAAGAAAATATTCTATTGCCTATTTACATTTTTAATACCCCAAATATGAGACTTTTTTAGTGCAAAAAGGTTACACAATAATTTACACGCATTAATTTGCATGATTTGTTCAATGATAAATATTATTCAAACTATTTTACGTAAAATAAGATTATGTTTATTGTCATGGTTACATCTGATAAAATATAATAACGGTTAAAGTGATTAACCAAAGAGTTACAATTTAAGTGCAAAAAGGTCAACTTAATTGTACCGTAGGTCAGTTAGATGCACACTGACCCCCCAATTTCTCTGCGATTTTGAGTCATACTATATGAGTACTTATCCAAAATATACTTCTCAAAAAATCTTTGATATAACAAATTTCACGAGTGACATACCTTAAGCTAACTTTGACAGATGAAGACTTGAACCTGCTTAAAAAAGAACAAAACATATGCTCAGAATCTAACCTGTGTGCTGTATTTTCCGATCCAAAAATGGACGTCATAGAGAAGAGCGTCTGAATCCTCTTTCTTGTAAGTCTAAATAAGAATTCAAAATTAACGCTCAAGCACTACAGGTTACCTCAAAAGAAATGCTACAACACATTTAAAGAACACTTACATTCAGTACAATATAGGAATCTCCGTCGTAGAATTTCCCATAATCCTCCTCTGGCCATTTTGTGACTTTGAAGTTCTGAAGCATGATTTAAGTGAAAAAAAGGTTTAAAGTTATTGAAGTGTAATCCTGTCTATTGCAAACAATTCTCTCATATTTTTGAAATAAGGGAAAAAATTTCACTTCAACTTTTTCACACTTTCTGTCGCGGAATAAAGATACTTATTTTGAAATTGACACGTTCTATTATTATGAATAAATTGAAACAAACCACTATCCGCCATATTTGGATCCCGGGTTTCAGGCCTGCTGTTTTCCAGGCCTTTTCACAAGCAGCTGAAGTTTCTGTTAAGAAAAAAGTCCATTTCGCAAGTTAGAATAAGATAAGAAGTCTAGAGTCCTGAAGCATGTCAATAGAAACAATTCTACATCTTTGAGGAAATTGGATTTTTTAAAAAAGGAATGAAAACAAAAATCAAAAGTTTTAGAGTTGGAAGAAATGGGGAATTATTCTAGAGGTAATTTTCTTAAAATAGCAACTCTATAGTTTCTAAAATGACATTTTAAGCATTCCCATTTAGCTTACATTCAGGTCTTTTAATTATTAGTCCTAATGCTTAGTGCAAGACCGCATTGTAAAAATTCATTAAAATTAGTTTTCTATAGAACAAACTATATTTTCTTTGTTCACCATGCAAGTATCCAAAACGATCTGTTTTCAAAATCGCTAGTCTTAATCAACATGATAAGGGGCGATTCGACTCTCTATATGGAAAAACCCTTCATGATCAAGAACTCTACACTTTTTTTCAATATGAAAGCATCATACTATGTGCATTAAACGAGTTTCTTCCTATTTTATCCGCGTAAAAGAGGGAGGGGACCAATTTTCTTCATAGACACATTTACTCTGCAGTTTCCGATTGTCAGAGAGGGACACATGACACAGGTAAGTATTTTGGGCACAGGAAATCTGTACATTATATCAAATAACATGCTAAAAGAATATCTATGGGAGACACCCTAGATTTATCGAACTTTTATATGCACTAGTTTCTACATTTGATGAGTGTGGATATTCATGTATGTACTAAAGTATATAAGAAATATGTTCAGTATAATAAGAGTATAACAGTCTTATTCATTCAATAACGTGCTGTCCATTTATTCAGTAGAAAGATGAAATAACATTCCTCTGTGAGAATATTCTTCTAAATCTTTTCGTTAAGCTTAATTTGCAGATATTTTACACAAAGATCGATAGCCTTGAATACAAGACAGTAATAACCGAACACCCACCAACGATAAACCGATTTTCATTAAATCCTAACATAGCAAATATATTAAATTAAAGGTAAATGAAGTATCTTATAAGGCTCAGATCTGAATTTATTTTATACGCTTGATTACTACGCTCTCATATCTATGTAGAAATATATTGGTAATTAACATATGATACATTTAAGTACAAAAGCTTTCTCACCGATGTCTGAACATTCTGAAACATTAAATGTCTTTAACCTTGAGGAAAGTAATGTGCTTTATCTTTAGACTGCTGATGCATTTACATGTACTTTAATTAAATTTTAAATTACGAGGTTTCGTGACTGTGTTCAGAAAATTAAAAGTGAATTTGTTCCATTTTTAACCTTTTTTGCCTCCTACATGTTCGACAAGTTAGCAAAATATAATTCAAAATTTTTAAATAATTACAATTATTTTTTGAAGTTAGAGAGCTAATTTAGGCGAAGGTTTTACGTCAATTAGCAGCAATATACTAAACTTAACTCCGTTTCCCAACTATAAAATACCAATATAAAACACTGATGTTGCAATTAAAATGTTTTCTTTACTATTTCACTACTGATCTTTCAGCTCAGGTGAGCTAAAAAAGTAATTTCAAAGGAATATTTCGTGCATTAATTAATGAACAATGATAAAATGGATATGGACAGAGTAAAATTTGTTTCATAGAAAATGTCTCAGAACATTTTGATCACCCCTCATAGGTCATATACCATAAGAAATGTCTCACGTTTTATATTTTTTGTATACAGTATCTTTTATGACAAGTAATATTTTTCAAGACAAAAATAATATCTGGTACATTTTAAAATGAAATAAAGGCAGATTATTGGTTTTCATTTCTATAGGATATTAAATATCCACAGGTTCTAAAGAAATATCTATTTTTAAAATCTCACTTTTAACGTCCCGTTCTTCTTTTGATCCGAAAAGTGCAAGGTTTGAATCCTTCCAGTCATACTGTTTTTGTTTGATCAGCCCTAAAACATAAGGAAGTTACATTGAATGACAAAACATCAATAGCATGAAAATGTCAATAGAAACACGTACTATGTTTTCATGTCGTACAGCCATACAAATGGTAATGCGTTGTTGATTGTTAATAAGGACAGATATTTACGATCAACAATACATTAGTAATTGTATACATATGACTGACCAACATGGAAATATTAATAAAACTGAATTTCAAGTATAAGTAATATCATTTAAGGAAAAAACTTGCACATTGATGTTACAAATGATAAAAGGGCACCTGGTATGATTTGGCAACGTCCTTTTCTTCTTGAGATTAAATTTAATCGATTTGGTGATAAAAGTCATTTAATTTGATGGTATTTGTGCAATAATGTATAACAACCATTAATATGAAGGTATATACGTGCATAGAAATCAAATTAAATCTTTATGCCTTTCACCATCTTTAAAATTATTACATGTAAGACCCTACTTTTCTTTGCATAAAACTTGAAAAAAAAAAAAAATGACCAGCTTTGGTTATCACTTAAACTTTATAAAAAATTAAATCAACTTTGATACCAGTAAATTCAAGTCATCATGGCTTTTTCTACCATCAAACTTAAGTTTATGTTACAATGTAATTTACATTTCCAAATATTTTTCCTTAGGATTCTTTGCAAATTAGAAAAAGTTCATGTTCTCATGAACTACCGTGGGATGAGTAAGAATATTTCCATTGTGATGTGATTGAAGAAAAAATAGCCCAAACTTTTTTTTCAAAATTGAATGACAAAAATATGTGGCAAGTCATCAGAAAAAATAATGTAAATATAAGCTATGAATTTAATTTTTGAGAATTCATGAGGTACATGAACTACAACGCTTCACTCCTGAATATTTATCATGAAGCTCTAAAGCGCTTCATGAAATGTGCAGGCACGAAGCATCGTAATTCATGTCATCATGAATTCTCAAAAATTAAATTCATCTCTTAAATAACCACTGTAAGAATTCTGTGCAGTACTTTATACCATGAGTATTACCAATGGGCTCAAGTCTCAAAATCAAAACAAAGTTACACTGTATATGTTTCACACTGGCTTTTACACCTTCGGTGAAACTTCGGGGATCAACTCTGTGGCTATGTTACATTAAAGTTTTGCAATTTAAGAAATTCAGAACTATCTATAACAATCGTTTTGAATTTCTTAAATTGCAAAACTTTAATGTAACACATGTATATATTACAATATTTAGCACAAAAGTGCAGTTACTCTAGGCAACTTTATTATTATTTCTTGTTTAAGATAATGTAACGTTTTTATGATTTTTATACATGTATATACAAAGGACTGTTTTGATCTGAAAGCTTCAGGAAATCTTTAAGTGCAACAGCTGTATGTTTTGGTAACATATTAAGTTTATAGAAATGAATAACTTTTTATGTATTTTATGTTTTAACGATTATCAAAAAATATAACGGCACGGTTATATTCTCAAGGCCTAAAAAAGGTGTGTAAATAATAATTGTACTAGATGTTTTTATGAGATTGGAAAGAATGAATCTGTCCGATCAAAAATGTTTTGTAAATGGAGTGTAAACATCAATGAAAACTTCTTCGAGTATTTTTTAAAATGTACATGTAATTGTGTTTTTAACAGTCAAAAATAACAATGAAAAATGTATAGTAAAGGACTGTATTTGTACAAAAATGAAGCAGTTAAAAAAGTTGCAGCGTCCTTTTTTCAGATTTAAATAAAAACATATTTCCCATAAAATTGAGTATGCATTTTGTATTCTGTCTAAATTCAACTTGTGTGCTATAACATGTAATGATTCCATTTAGCCTTATATATGTGATATATTTAAAAAGAAAAGACATATATATTTATAACAATATTTTTATATTTACATTTTTAATAAAAACAGAGGAATTCTTACCTGTCATTGTTTCGCCTGGAAGTAAAAAATCAATAAATAAAAATCAATACACAACAGTTTATTCACCAACTACCTTGCAACATGTGTCACTGTGTAGGACTCGCGATCGTTTATATCTAACGACAACAAGTTTCTGTTCCGCATCATGTGGTTTCCACACGGATGCTATCGTGATATAGACTGAATCCATGCCCTATTTGAAGTTATTTGTTGCACTTTAACAATGTATCTATTTCTGTCGTACACGATTTTATTCTTAGTAACTAATGCTGCAATGATTTTTCAAGTATCATTTCTTTTCCTTGGAATTTTTTAATATCTTGGAAATGAAATGTCCATTTACAGGTAAAAAGTTTGATTTAAAAGATATTTTTGTGGTTATATGCATTCCGACATTGTTGCAACTACCGTAATTAGATCTAATTATTATTTCTTTTAATAAGAATAAAACAAAATAAATTGATAAGTAATAAATCCAAACAAACCAAAAAAAAAAAAAAAAAGAAAAAAATGAAAAAAATAATGATAAAAAATCAACACCCCTTGTGGAAAAACCCACTCACACATATATAGACACAAACAATGTACAAACAAACAAGCCATGTCTGATGTTTCATTTTGACATGAAGGTTGTACATAATCTAGGCTGGACCAGTCCTGAGATTTTAAATAATGTAATGATGATTCAGTAGTCAACTCTAAGTATTTGTAGTAGAAGTAGTGTGTGAAATGTGAAAGTAACGAAACAAATTAAAAAGCAGAAGGATCCCTAAAAACATCACAGGGGGATCAGGTGCCCTGTCGATCGGTCTCACCCGACGTAAGCCTAGTTGTCTTGATCAAGTTAACGGTGTAATCCGTAGATAATTCAATGTGAAAAATGACCTAACTTTGGTAATTAAGCACCAATCAGCTTTCGACCTAACTTCAGGTTGTATTTGTAAACTACAACATTGTATCGACTATAAAATTTGGGAAATGATGACTTTAAATTCGATTGTTGAAACCCTTATAATGACAAGTTATATGTCAGAAGCCTGTATCGGCTTAGAAATTGACCGTAGGTAGAAAGCCCTTGCATATCGAATTAACCGACAGTCATAAACACCATTTGCAGGTGATAATAATATATTGCTATATAAATTCGGGAAGTTGAAGAAAGAAAAATTGAAGTCAACAGTTTATCATAAAAATTAATTGTGGGTTGTCTATCAATGTCAACCTAGTATAATATCCAAATATGAAACAGATGTGTCAGACTCTGTAACGTCTTTCAATTCGAGTTCAGTGTAATACGTGAAATACAATGAATCAACGTATGAATGAAATGATTATTACTAATTGATATCACGTCGTCGGTAAATCTAAATGTCAAACAGAGGACCACAGCAAGAAACCTTCTTTTCATGTAGAAGTTGCTGAATAAAATCAACAATACAAAGAAAAGGTCTATAAAAAAGGGCACAAAAAGCGCCAATTTGAATTACAGCAGATTACTGAAGTTTCCGATGACCACGTTCATATTTTTTTCAATGAGGAATGCAACGTCTTTGTAATATGAATTTCTATATTCATCTTTGAGACGCCATCTTTTGTTTCACTTGCTCTAGTAAATGTCTTATTGCCATGCATTCCGTCCCTAAAGTTGTCTTACAAGATTCCATATATTGAACAGCTACTGGTAACATTGAAAAGCAAGCAGATGAATAAACATCACTGAAAACTACAGGTAACATTGAAATGAAAACAAGGGGTGATGCAGATAAATAATCATTACGTAAAGGGCTATGATAAATCAAGTAACTTAATAAACATGGCCGTAGGAACGGGGGGAGGGCGTGCCCCCAAATAATTTTGCCGATATATAGATTACTATAGAAAACATAGCTACTATATGCTACTATATGCTTGTGACCCCTCAATAAAAATGTCTGATGACCTTTTTTTTTTTTTTTGCTCGTCAAGGAATTTTTGGTAGTTGATAGTGCCCCCTCAACTGAAAATGTATGGCTGTGCCCCCCCCCCCCCCAAACTGAAATTGCTTCCTACGGGCCTGATATAGGAAATACGCAGCGTAATTTTGATATTTAAAATTTAACAATTTATTCCAATTGAAATTACATTAAATAATCCACGGTGAATTGAATGTATCATAGGAAAAGAACATTTACAGAATCCCGGGGACACAAAAGACGAATGAGATAAAGTCAACTGCTGACTGACGTTTTTCATACTAATTGTTAGGCCATTGTTTACACACTGAATTGTTTACGGATTTTTCCGTTTTTTTTTCATGACAAGGAGCACACGGCGGGTGTGACAGGTAGGCAGATGATGCTCACTCCTCCATGGCTCCTAGTCCCACCTCTGGTGTTTTTGCAGGTCCGTATTTGCACTGCTCCCGGTTTGTATTGTTCAAATGGACTTTGAGTTTGAATGCTGTTTGTTATCTTCATATTTCATTGTCTTTCATTAAATTATCCTTTGACTTCTGTTGGGTTGAATATCCAATTTCCTACACTTACCTATTCCGTTCCAAAAATTTCTAAATCCATTTGGAATGTAAGCCTTTATTTTTATGGTTACTCGTCCATTTTCGTGTATAGTTGCTGTCCTCGATTAAAATACCTCACGATTTGAAAGGAGTAAACTCCAAGCTAAAGTTTGCATTTTGGTTTCCTTTATTAATGACATGGTCAAGAATATCGTTTTTTAAAACAAAATTTGTGTTTCTATATGTACGTTTTCATCCGTGTTTTTCAGTTTTAAAAATGAATGAATTGAAGAGAATTAAATAGAAATAACTTTTACGCTTGCGTAGTACACAATAAAAATGTCGCATTGCGGATAAATAAGACTTAACAAAGTTAATGTTCATATCTATCGATATAAATCAGTGGATAGTGAACTTCTATTTAAAAAAACTACAGTAGTAAATTCGAAAACAAGTTTTCATTGGCCTAACTAATAGAAAGTGCCTGGTTAAAGCTGACATGAACTCTTAAATATGTGATATTTTCATCCTTGTACGACTTATTTCATTCCCGTACTCCCTTTTCCGCCATATTTCTTTAGATTCGCTCACTTATTTTCCCGGCTATATAAACCCTAATGCCTTTTTTACACTTGAGTGATTTTCTAGCCTGGCTGTCGACATGTACACATCTCCGATAGCAAAGTTTTGGAACACGCCATGAACTGACCGAAAACATGTACACATCTCCGATAAAGCAGTTTTGGAACATGCAATAAATCTAACATTCCTACCAAAACTAGGAATTTTATTGAAAATTTGAAAGGAGTATATAAAATTTTAATAATTTAGATGCAATGAATAAAAATCAAAACGGCAAATGCATGTTTGATATACATATATATTTGAACAATAAAGAAGAAAAGGCTACCACGTGCATTTTTTCCAAATAACACTGTACTGTTGAGCTTTATGCATGCTACACGGTATAAGCACATACTATGCAACTTACGCATTCAAGTTGTACATGCATGCATGCCGAGAAAACGCGTCGAACGCTCTAAACTCATCTGCCTGATATACTGCTATCGCACATGTCGAAAGAATTACTTCCTATTTTCCTTTATTGAAATATGCATCACAGAAGAAATAACTCCATTTGTAACTCAAGGGTAAACACATTGTCACTAGCACTTGAACACACGTGGTCCCTGCCGATCAGTATTTTTGGTCAGGGAAAATATCGGAGGTGGAAATGACACTGGTATTTGCCTGATTAGACAATATAGTCACGCAAATAAAACGTTTCAGAAATCGAACTAACTGTTGTCGGTACATGTAGTAAATACGTTCATGAATGTGGCTTCATTACTTCAAATTTATTACATAAACATACATTCTTGTTACGGATCTTACATCTTTTAAAGAAAATGAAAGGGGGAGGGGGGGGGGTGGAATACGTAGAATACACATTTTTCAATATGTCGGAAAAAGGTCGGATTTTCCTTGATCAAATATATTTAAATACGTGCAATGAACTGGCCTCAACTATTTTAGATATAAAACTAATATATCTTAAATTTACACACACTGAACAATTTGTTTCTGTAGACAGATTATTTTCAAATCAGGGCCCTTTTAGGTGTCAAAAATTACAAGCACGATTGAAATTACCAACAAGCAGACAGACTTACTCAACTTCAATATATACAAAAACAGGTAATGTAGATTATTTTATTTACACATAAGCACAGACATAATTATGTGTATATAAAATAATCTACATTACATGTTTGAAGTTGAGTAAGTATTACACTATTAGTATATATGAAAGTAATATTGATAATTGAAATAGTTCTACTGTGTACCCAAATGTAAAGTGGGGTGATTCAACAATCCTCGCATTGCCAAAGATATCACAAGGCGATGCAAAAGTACTAATTATTACATTACATAAGTAGTTTTTTTTAACAATAACACATATTTACACGTTCTAGATATTTAAAGAAATTTTGTAATATGACTGAATGATTAAAATATGGTTGCGTGCATGTGTATTTTTTCTTTAAATATTATATATAATTAATAATCAAAGTTTATAGGAAAGGAAAACATGTGCCCCTGAGAGTGCCCCCCCCCCCCAAGAGTTTTTTTTTTAAATTTAGATATTGTTTTTTTTTTTTTCGTGTCTAAAAATTTCTGGTTGGAACCCTCTGTGCTCTTCAGAGCTTCTATATAAAGAAACAAAAAACTGACTTCGTTTCCTCTGGAAAGTACGTGAGAAGGGTTCACATTTTTCCATTCCCGTGAAATATAGTTTTCACAATTGTTTAGTTCCCCTTTCGTTTGGATGTGTGGGATTTTCTTCTTCTTTTCTTTTCTTTTTTGTGGTTTGTCAAAAAAAGTAAATTTTTTTACAGCAGGTTTGATCCACTCTGCCCCAGAAAAATTCCTTGACCTGCCCTTATAAAGACTATAGCACTTCCCAAGGTTTTTACTACATCGGATTTTATATGCATTATTGCTCTTACATGTATGGATG